AAGACAAGTAATTTGGAAAGGAGGGAGTAGTTCGGATGAGTTGTCAAACATGGGTGCTCCTTTGTTGCAAACGCAGTCCTGATGGATGTCGAGGAGTTAAGGCCGAAAGCCATACTCTACTCTTGTCAACGTGGGTGCTCCTTTGCTGGTGTTTTATTAGGACGTACATGCGACTAGAATAGAGCAAAGAAATAGCTGCTGCCAGCCGTAAGGCCTTCCCGTCAAAAAGGAAAGAAAAAGAAAAAAAAAGAAATAGCTGCTGCCATCTTCTGTACTTGGGTCAGATTTTGTAAATTGAGAACTACTGAGGATTAAGAAGAAATATTGATTGCAATTGTCCTGTGCCATGGAACATTGGGAAAAATAATTGGCATCGTCGATTCGCTCTTTTGGTCACATCACATCTACGCCATTGGCAACCATAGGGTTTGCAACTACAAATGGGGCCAAGACCGAGGCATAGATAGTGGGCCTTTAGCGTTGCCCATGCTTAGCGAGCTTCTTCTCGGTCTTTGAAGACTTCCACTTCATTATCTGGGCCGAGGCGCGCTGGAGTCGGATTGCTAAGTCGAAGAAGTTGGTCGGAACGTCATTCCCGGGCCACAATGTCATAAATATCTCTTTCATTGTCGGCTTGATCAGATTGAGCAGCTCGCCAATTTGCTTCAGTCTGTCAGGGAGAAGGTCAAGCCGGCTGGTTTCTTGGAACTGCGACCAGAAAGCCCGGAGTACTTCCTGCTCAGGATCATTGAGCTCTTGATAGTACTTGTGGGCGCTCGCAGCACTCTGGGGCAGGTCGGCGAAGATCTCTGCGTGGTGCCAAATCTGAGTTAGCGCGGCATAGCTATTGCTTCCAAATCGACATTGGAGAAGATATGGTTGACCAGCGACAATCTGCTTGGCTTGCTCTACTTCGTCTCGAGCATTGCAACGGACGAGGTTGGATTCCTTCAGACTATACTCGAGCAGTTTAATTTGGTCACCCAGCCTGGTCTTCTCGGCCTTCAGCTGGTCACACTCAGTCTGGCTCTTCCTGAGCTCCTGCTGAAGTAGGTTGGATGCATCCCGGGCGGCCTGGCATGCCTCTTGTTCTTGCACAAGTTTGGCAGCAGTCTTTTGGGCCTCTTTTTGGATGTCGTGGAGCTGTTGGTTGCTAGAACTGAGCTGGTTCCTCAACTCGGCCATACGCCTTTCAACTACTGCATTCAAGTTTGGAGGTGGTCAGCACAATTTTTGCAAATATGCAAGTTATATCAAGTTATATATGGAAGGAGTTGCCGTAGGAATAGTCGAGCTTACCCATGGAATCACTAAGACTTTTGGAGAGATTTTCATTCTTATGCTCGGCTTCGGCGAGTAGTGTCTTGAGCCGGGCTATCTCATTCTCCAAACGCTTGTTGTCCCGAGCTGCAGCCTGTATAAAAAAATTCCAAGTTACAGGAAGGTTAACATGGATAAGGGCTCCTGCTAAGAGAATTTGATCCCCAGGCCGACCTTTGCAGCCCAACACGAGTCTTGAGGGCTACTGGATCTGCGTTAATTCAAAGGTAGCACGTGTTACTCTAAGAAGATTCAATCCTAAGGTCGGTTTGCTAAAGCAACCTAAGTCTTGAGGGTTACTGCGCATCGGTTTAATCTAAGTTTGAGTTTTACGAGGAGAGTATCGACCCTCAAACCAGCCCTCCAGCCCAATCTGAGTCTTGGGGGCTATTGGATCACTGATTTTGATTAAGAAAAGCTATTCCCGAGGAGATTTTGATCCCCAAGGTGGACATTCTGCCCCGCCTGTGTCTCGGGGGCTAATGCACAATCGTTTTATCTTGATCAAAATTAAGACGAACTACAACCCAGTTTGTGTTAAACCGGACTCCAGCTCGGGGGCTAGCGTGCACGAAAGTGCTAAGTTGAGATACATGACTCATGGTGCAGACCGGATTTAGTTTTGGGCCGCACATTAAGAGCTACTGGCTATACATCTATGTAGAAATAAGATGCATAAGTAAAATTACCTCCATCCCGGGACCAAAGGCGCCCGTCATCCGTATAACACCGAGCTGCATCTCGTGGGCCTTGTCATTCAGGTACTTCATCGCATCTCGCTGGGCCTCATTCAGGTAATGGTTGACCCCCGATTTCTGGACTTCCCAACGGCCCAATACGGGCGCGACTTCTGAACCATTGATTGACATCTCGCCAAGAGGCTGCTGGGTCAGGACCACATTGCCCGATGTGTTGGGGCCAGACAATTGCAAGGGCATGTCATCTCCAATGACTGTATCGACTAGTGGCCCATGGCGTAAGGTCGGGACAACGACTGGCGGCGGCGGCGGTGCTTGGAGCTCTTGAGTTGATGGAGCCGGGGAGTTAACCACCTCGACATTTTCTTTAGGCCCGATCTCCTGGTTGTCAAATCCACGAGCCCCGGGCTGGCCTTGTCCGTCTGCATTAGCTGCAGGCGGGCTTCTTGATGTGGCATCTCCAGATGGCGCCACTTTCGACATCGACTTGATCTTTGAGAGTATAGCGTTGTGGACTTGCGCTGTGTTTCTAAGGTAGGACATGTGCAAGGCGGTATATATAGCCATCAACCAGGGGCTATCGAAGGATGATATTAATTACATCCAATAAATTTGAAAAAGGAAAGACACTAATGCATACCATAAACACCATTTTATTTATAGTGACAGTGCAACGCATACTATAAACCATGACATGTGCAATTTATTATAAGATTTCGCAGGGGTACAAGTATAGTATACGTTGAATGCCACATTTAATATTACCCTTTTTTGGCTTTCCACTATCTGGCTCATAATCACCTACCATATGCAAAGGTTTCTACCCGTTGCGGAGAGGCTGACCTGCAGCTCATTTTTCGTCATGAGAAAATGACGAGCAAAGACGAAAAATGCCATGAAACAAAAAAATAATCTCGAGAACCTTCGGTGCTTTCAGTGTGACATGCTTAATTTGCCACAGGCTTTTCTTTTTGCATTTTTGGCGCAGCTTACATGAAGAAAAACTGTGGACGAATCGTGACCGGTTAATATATGTTGTTTAGAAACTGTTTTGAAATTTGAAATTTAGAAATTAGAAACCCTAGTTCTTGGGCTGTTTGCTCGGGTAAGATGGGACCCAACAAGCAAAACGGGCTGAATGTGTGTGTGTGTAAGCCCAACGTGAGATGGTTGGGCCTTCCTTATCCACCGTCCCGGTCCCACCCACCTCTCTCCCTCCGTCCTCGTCCACACTCTCTCCTCCATGTCGCCCGTCGCGGCGCACCGAGCCTCTCCGGCCATGTGGTCCCCGCAGCCTCCGCCGCCCCGCCTCCAGCTCCGGCGACCGGCGGGGACGCCCCTTCACTCCTCGCGCCGCCTCAGCCGCATCGCCGCATCGCAGGAGGACCCGCTGACCGCGCTGACCCGCGTGCTGTGGGGCCGCGCGCTGCCGCCGTCGCAGCTCGTGCTCGCCGTGCGCCACGGCTGGACCTCGGCGTGGCGGCTCCTCATGCGCCAGCTCGCGCCCTCCGACCCGGCCACGGGCGCCTTCACCCGCACCCCGTCCCGCTTCCCGGCCGTCGCGCAGCCGGCGCCCGGCCCCGGCGCGCGCCTCCACCTCTACGTCGGCCTCCCCTGCCCCTGGGCCCACCGCGCGCTCCTCGTCCGGGCCCTCCTCGGCCTGGGGCCCCGGCTCCCCGTCTCCGTCGCCGTCCCGGGCGACGACGGCGCGTGGTCCTTCACGCCGGAGAGCCCCGACGCGCTCTACGGCTCCCGCAGGCTCCGGGACGTGTACGCCGCCCGGCGCGGCGGGTTCGAGGGGAGGGCCTCCGTGCCCATGCTCTGGGACGCCGACCGCCGCGAGGTGGTCTGCAACGAGAGCATCGAGATCGCCAAGTTCCTCTGCACGCTCGCCGACGACGGCGCCCTCGACCTCTGGCCGCCGGAGCACCGCCAGGAGATCGACCGCTGGTACGGCGTCATCTACCCGAGCGTCAACAACGGCGTGTACCGGTGCGGGTTCGCGCAGAGCCAGGCGGCCTACGACGCGGCGGCGGGCGAGCTGTTCGACGCGCTGGACATGCTCGAGGGCCACCTCTCCGGGTCCCGGTACCTGTGCGCCGGCGCCGGCGTGACGCTGGCCGACGTGTGCCTCTTCACCACGCTCATACGGTTCGACCTGGTGTACAACCCGCTGTTCCGGTGCAGCCGGAGGAAGCTGGTGGAGTACCCCAGCCTCCACGCCTACATGCGGGAGATCTACCAGTTGCCCGGCGCCGCCGAGACCTGCGACATGGCCGCCATCGCCGGCGGGTACTTCGGGACGCTCTTCCCGCTCAACCCCGGCGGGATCCTGCCTGTTGTGCCGGCGAGCTGCAGCCGGGAAGCCCTCATGAAACCTCATGGCAGAGAGGCATTGCCTTCTGCTGCTGCTGATGGTCGGCAGCTAGGAGCAACTGCTAGTGTTGTTGGCTAGGATTACAGAGTGTTAACTGAATTTGTAGCGCATCAAATTACTTACTGAATAATACCTTGGTACATATAGAGGATGAAACAAAATGGCAGAATATTACTGTGACCGAGAGTTTCATGCCATATAAATGCTTTATTAGCGATATATTTTGTTGGTCGAAAGACCGATACATTGACAACAATGTAAGGAAGATTCAAGAACCTTCTACTAGTAAGTATTGTGTATAGCATACTGGTCTACATAAATTTGCAACCATTCATGATGCTAGTAAGCAGTCAGACTCCTTCAGTTCATATAATGGCAGCTCATCAGAGATGCTCCAGATTTTATCACAAGATTGATGCCCAAGGTAGCACAATCCATGCTCGATGATGGTTTCGAAAGGCTTCCAACTGTGTGGCGACAAAAGGAAGTTTTAGAACCAATGATTCCCACTGTGGGCAGTGTATGCAATAAGAGTTCACATACTCATGCATATGGAAACTGGAAAAGACCGAAAGACTGCTGTGTAGAGGTAAATATTACCATTGTCATGATCTGGTACCACTCTCTTCAGTTTCCATGTACAGTTTGTGCTCTCTAATGTACTCGATTACCTCATCGCAAGTAAGATACTTTACTGAGAGATGTTTTCTTATACATTCTCTGCAATTTTCAAAAAAGATAAATAATGGAATCAAACATCCTAGCATCAAATAAAAGGAAATTTGAAGCTGGTAACAGCATCTCATTATACAGAAACCAACGTAAATAAAATGTTACCTTACTCTGGATGAACTGATCTGATTTGGCACAATCTCATCAACCGAAATGATGTTATCCTGAAAAAACATTCATAGGTTAACACATATGCGAGTAAGTCATCATAGTCCGTTGAAGCAGTAAGCTCAGGCTAGAAGTTTCACCCTGCATCCTTGCAGCGTCTCGCTGTTGGATATTAGCTTCTGAACATCTTTCCCTTCCCTACGTATACAAACAACACCGAAGTCTTTACATATGGACCTAACCTGGAAACAGAAGGATGTGCATCAAAGTTACTTCTCCGATGGCAAATCAAACAGAAACTAAATAGGGCACCATGATTTTCCAAATAAGGGGCTCATAAGTTTTGTATGCCGAATTATTGATACCAAAAAACGTTCAAGCTTTTTACCTGATCTGGAATCCAAACCCCTGGTGTGCTGAATGATTCAAGCAGGTCAGAACCACATAAAAGCATTACCTTGAGATTACCTGAAAGAAAATGCACGTTGTAAACAACTGATTTGTATACAGGGTAAACGCACTGATACATATGAATCATCCAACATTGTGAGAGAAGGCGTTAAAAAAAATCCTTGCCATATACCTTGATCAGCTAAACCGTCCTTGCACAGAGAGTTCTTAACTCTCGAGAGAACGGTCAAGGTGCGCTGATAACCTTTCTGCATTGCCTGTATCAAGACACAAGAATGTGTGCATCAAATACCCACATCATCCAAACTGAAAATACCTTATGTTACAACGCCAAAACCCAATGGCACACATCAACTAACATGAAGAAAAAAAATCAGGTTACCTCCCAGGGATCAACCATCACGAAAGACGAGCTTCCACATGCCAATTCGCAGAGGCGAACCCGGTGAGCAGCCGGCAAGAGGTCCTGGCCAGCCCCAAATTGCGAATTCAGTCACTAGAACGGCGTCAACACAAACCGATACACAATTCCAGTTACGCATAGTACCTTCTTCTTGTACGCATCGTTCACCGGGGACATGTACCCACCCAAAACACAGTACCCTCGCTGCTGCAACTCGTCCTTCGCCAGCTCTGTATGAATTTAACACATGACAAGATGGGGAAAGAGGTCATCTTTGCACTTTGCTGATCCTATTCCGAAGCTGTTCTTCAGACTTACCAAGCACACTGATTAACAAGTGTTGGTTAAGGCTTACCGAACATGCGCAGGTGCATGTAGGTGGGGGGATTGAAGCTCCCGGTGGCCACCAGCACGACGCCACCTCGATTCCCCACATCCCTGCCATCACCAAAAAAATCAAGAAACGAACGGTGGATCAGTCCAGCTATATGCATCGAGCAATCCAAGAAAATCCGAGAGCAGATTCTCTTCTTTCTGCTTACCGATTTGGATCCATGGAGAGCTTCTCCGTGGGGAAGGGGAGAGGAGCTTCCGCCTCCTCCATGGCCGCCCTCTGCAAATCCTCAGCCGAGCCGAGCTGATCTCTCGCTGCGGTTCTCTCTTCCTGCGGTGCGCCGTCGGCGGGAGGCCGGCAATCCGGCCGGCGTGCGCTGGAGCAAGATTCCCAAGTAGGAGGCTTTTTTTTAGAATGCTGGACTCTGTGTGCCCGTGTGGGTGGGCATCGCGATATGGGCCTTGTTGGGCCGCTGTGGTCATGCCCAGGGGGCCCGCTAGAATAATAACAAACAGGTCCACGGAGAGATGCAGCCTATCAAACGGGCCGGGCCCATGTGGCCTTGGGCAGCCCCGCGCGGCTCTATAAAGCCGCCTCCTCGAGCCGCTAGGTTTTGGTGCTCTCTTCTTCCTCCTCTCCTCTTCCCCCGGCGGCGGCGCAGGCGGCGCGGAGGCGACAGGCGAAGGCGAAATGGTGAGCGGATCGCCGCGGCTCCGGCGGAGGCCTCCTCCCTCCGCGGCGCTCCTTCTCGTCTAGATAGATGGATCTCGAGTTCTGACTGTTCCTTTGCTGTTGTTCTTGCGCAGACGAAGGGAACGGGCAGCTTCGGCAAGCGCCGGAACAAGACCCACACGCTGTGCATCCGCTGCGGCCGCCGCAGCTTCCACCTGCAGAAGAGCACCTGCTCCTCGTGCGGCTACCCGGCCGCCCGCATCCGCAAGTGTAAGTCCCGCCGCCAGATCCCCTTCCCCCTATCCTAGGATGCGATTCCGGTCCGTCGACCTAGCTGGTTTAGGTAGATGTGGTGCTTGGTTCTCGTATGTGCTGCCTGCGCGAGGCCGTGATTGCTTAGGTTTTCGGTGCTGTTTGGGTAGCCCCGTCGCTGTTGCCTAGAGTCGCATGCATGCTAGCTCTGTGGCTCGACGTGGTGCGCCTGTGGCTTGATGTGCTGTAGTTTTTATCTGGTTCTAATTTGTGATGAGTAGTTCTTGTTTGATACGATGTGTTAGCCTTTGATCATAAGCATGATAGTTTGAAGATGCTGGGAATGACTGTAGAAAGTAATTCCTGCAAGACCAACTCTAGTTATGAATTGTCATATAAGTATCTTACCTAGCTCTGTTACACCCTGATAGAGGTTCAGCAACTAGAGCTATTAATAAGGTGGATGGCTTGGCTGTTTGTTCACATGTATCGTCTATCTTAAAATTTAAGATGTTTATCCTGTTCTAAGCAGTACACATTTGTAGCCAGCCTTTAGTGATGAAGTTTTAGTTAGTGCAGGGCAGTTAAGATTGATTGTCATATTGCTCTCACTGTCTTCTTATAAGTTAAAGCACATCTCTCATTTAGTAAGTGTTATGTTTCTTCTGCATCTGATAAGATTCTGTCTTGAAAAACAGACAACTGGAGTGTGAAGGCCATCAGGAGGAAGACCACCGGCACCGGGAGGATGAGGTACATGCGCCATGTGCCCAGGAGGTTCAAGAGCAACTTCAGAGAGGGTATACTTCTCTTCTCTCTTTAGTCTTGTTAATAAAATGTGCCAGCATAGCCACCCATTGTGAGCTCTGTTTTGCTAAACTGCAATCCTGTGAATGTGTTCTGCAGGAACTGAGGCCGCACCAAGGAGCAAGGGAGCCTCTTCCAGCGGCAACTAGGCGTGACAGTCTTCATTTGTTGCCCTAAGCAAAGCCCTGATCATCAAACTTAGCTTTTTTGTTGCTTTCAACTGGAACTCTATGTTTCTATGTCGAGAGGCAGACGATATGATGCCTGGTTATGTTATTTGCACAATTGTCGTGGACGTTAATCCTTCAGTTTTGAATGTTGAATTGTGTCGATGTCCTGTGTTAGATGGTGCATCTATTGTTCAATGTGCTATTTGTGACGAGTCTGTTTTTTGTTGTTTCAATATGAGATCTTTGGTCAAGTTTTTATGCATGTAATAGACCATGACATGGTCACTCACATAGTGTTTGTCTGTTCATATTTACGCTGTGCAGGTCCAGCAAGAACATAAAAATGCAACTTCCAATGTGAATAGCTCAATGGTTAATTTCTCTTTTAGCATTTTGAGTTCCAACATTGTCTTGTATACAGAACAGAGAGATTGTATGGAAGGTCATTTTGAGTTTCCCAGTTTTGTTTTCTAACTCAAAAATCGTACTCCCTCCGTAGTAAAATTCTTGTCTTAACTATTGCAAAAATTATTTTGCTATGCTTCTTTGAACCCGCTATTGTGTGATTTAGCCGTAGCTCAGAGAGATAGATCAAGACGCTTGATAAGTTTTTTCAATAAGTACATACCTTGACAAGATTTTGATGTAGTCCAAAATGTAACTTTCAAAGAAAGAGTTCTTGCTTGTGTTACAAGGTGTGAAATTGAGTAAGACTCAAAGCCCGACCACGGCAGAAGATAGAAAGAGAATGAAAATCATTCTCTATGTCTCAGCCATAGGTTCTATAACGTATGTCATGCTGTGTACCAGATATATTGTATACCCTACACTGATTTTGGCAAGGGAAGTACAATAGTGATCTAGAAGTAGATCACTAGACATCGGTCAAAATTATCCTTAGTGGAATAAGGATATGTTTCTCGATTATAGAGGTGACAAAAAGGTTCGTCGTAAAGAGTTACATCGATACAAGTTTTGACACCAATCAGGATGACTCTTAAGTCTCGATCCAGATACATATTGAAAAGTGGAAGCAATTAGCTAGAGTAGCTCTTTGCAGAGCATTGTTGACATAAAAATTCGCAAAATACTTACGGATTTAAATATGACAACCCGTTGACTAAAATTATCTCACAAGCAAAACATGATCACACATTAGTACTCTTTGGGTGTTAATCACATAGTGATGTGAACTAGATTACTGACTCTAGTAAACCCTTGTGTGTTGATCACATATCGATGTGAACTATGGGTGTTAATCACATGGTGATGTGAACTAATGCTGTTAAATGACATGGCGATGTGAACTAGATTATTGACTCTAGTGCAAGTGGGAGACTGAAGGAAATATGTCCTAGAGGCAATAATAAAGTTATTATTTATTTCCTTATATCATGATAAATGTTTATTATTCATGCTAGAATTGTATTAACCGAAAACATAATACATGTGTGAATACATAGACAAACAGAGTGTCACTAGTATGCCTCTACTTGACTAGCTCGTTGATTAAAGATGGTTAAGTTTCCTAGCCATAGACATGAGTTGTCATTTGATGACATGACCCATTCCGTTAGCTTAGCACCCGATCGTTTAGTATGTTGCTATTGCTTTCTTCATGACTTATACATGTTTCTATGACTATGAGATTATGCAACCCCCGTTTGCCGGAAGAACACTTTGTGTGCTATCAAACGTCACAACGTAACTGGGTGATTATAAAGGAGCTCTACAGGTGTCTCCAAAGGTACATGTTGGGTTGGCGTATTTCCAGATTAGGATTTGTCACTCCGATTGTTGGAGAGGTATCTCTGGGCCTTCTCGGTAATGCACATCACATAAGCCTTGCAAACATTGCAACTAATGAGTTAGTTGCAGGATGTTGTATTACGGAACGAGTAAAGAGACTTGCCGGTAACGAGATTGAACTAGGTATTGGATACCGACGATCGAATCTCGGGCAAGTAACGTACCGATGACAAAGGGAATAACGTATGTTGTTATGCGGTCTGACCGATAAAGATCTTCGTAGAATATGTAGGAGACAATATGAGCATCCAGGTTCCGCTATTGGTTATTGATCGGAGACATGTCTCGGTCATGTCTACATTGTTCTCGAACCGTAGGGTCCGCACGCTTAACGTTACGATGACAGTTATATTATGAGTTTATGAGTTTTGATGTACCAAAGGAGTTCGGAGTCCCGGATGAGATCGGGGACATGACGAGGAGTCTCGAAATGGTCGATACGTAAAGATCGATATATTGGACGACTATATTCGGACACCGGAAAGGTTCTGAATGGTTCGGATATTTTTCGGAGTACCTGGGAGTTACGGAAATACGGGGGAAAAGTATTGGACCTTATTGGGCCATACGAGAAAGAGAGAGGGGCTGCCTAGGGCAGGCCGCGCGCCCCCCCCAAGGCCTAGTCCGAATTGGACTAGGGGGAGGGGCTGCGCCCCCTTCTTCCTTCCCTTCTCCTTTCCCCTTCCTTGTCTCCTACTCCTACTACATGGAAGGAATCCTAGTTGGACTCCCTAGGGCGCGCCATAGAGAGGGTCGGCCCTCCCCCCCTCCACTCCTTTATATACAGGGGCAGGGGGCACCCTATAGACACACAAGTTGATCTTCGTGATCGTTCCTTAGCCGTGTGCGGTGCCCCCTTCACCATATTCCACCTCGGTCATATTGTAGCGGTGCTTAGGCGAAGCCCTGCGACGGTTGAACATCAAGATCGTCACCACGCCGTCGTGCTGACGGAACTCCTCCCCGAAGCTTTGCTGGATCGGAGCCTAGGGAGCGTCATCGAGCTGAACGTGTGCCAAGAACACGGAGGTGCCGGAGTAACGGTGCTTGGATCGGTTGGACCGGGAAGACGTACGACTACTTCCTCTACGTTGCGTCAACGCTTCCGCTTCGGTCTACGAGGGTACGTACACAACACTCTCCTCTCTCGTTGCTATGCATCACCATGATCTTGCGTGTGCGTAGGAAATTTCGGATGTACTTTGTTGCTATGTTGGAGTGCAGTGTCTTAACTAAGATGAAAAATTTGTGACGGAGGGAGTACAATGTTAGATTTTTAGCATTCTTTGTTTGAAGAGCTAAACTGTTCTTTTTAACTTGGCTCACACTTTATTTTGGTGCATGATCCAAAATATTGGAAAATAAACTATTTATGACATACACATTTGTATTACATCTCGGAAAATATCAAACCCAAATATGAATCATGCCTTGAAAAAAGTCAACAGACTCAACAGTCAAAATAGGTCGCTATACCGCCTCGCTTGGGTTGTACTACCTCCATTCCAAAATTTCTACTCCTATAAAAATGTGAGTTGGTAACGATGTCTGCCTATCTTC